ATTGATAGTGTCTTTCCACTATAACCAAATCCATACACTTCCATCTCTTTCCTCTCCCTTGCAACAAGGTGTGATTAAAATCAACCTTACAGCCCCCATGCCCTAAGGTAGAGCTTTCAATAAGCCACATCTCAGGGCAGGGTAGGGGACTTTAGACTCCTTGGGGTTCACTGCTATTGATTTTACATGGAAAGTGTCCAGGCACCATAGTGATAAGCAGCAAGGTAAATCTGTAACAGTGTTGAAATAGGAACTGCAACCCCATCAAAACAAGAAATAACATGTTTTAATCAGTCACTTACCCTTCCCTGCAAATTCAATACTAATAACTAATGGGAAATTTTACCTGTTCTCGTAGCTCCACTCAGACACATGGGGCTAGCAGAGATGCAAGGTATTATTCTACACGTGACAAATCTTAACCCTCAGAATCTCTTGTGACTACAGCCAACAGAAGCTGAGTATTTCTAACTTAGCAGCAAAATCAAAACAAAGCCAGGCACATTTTTGACATTTTCTCAATTGTTTGCCCTCTCCCCAAACCAGCTGTATCTTACTGCATCTAATCCCTTGTGGTGGTCTTCTAGAAAGGGAGCCTTCTCTTCCCCAGGAAGCTCCTTGTCCCCCAAGCCTGGCTGCAGTCCTCAGGCCTTGAAAATGCAGTTCTTTCTAATTCTGGGCAGGGGAGTCCCCTGTAGGAGCTGTTCTCTTAATCTGATTATTCACTGCAGCTGGAGGGCCCTCCCCTCCTTGAAGGCTTGGTTCTGGCAGGTGTTGTGGGGGCTGGAGTGATTAAATTCCCTGTCCCTGGGGCAGAAAATTAACCCTTTCCTACTCTGGCTCAGCCTGCAGCCTGTAGACCTCACCATGGAAAGCTAGGGTAGGTGCTCAATCATAGTGTACAATACGCTGGTACAATACAAAACTAAGTAAGGACCGGGTGCATGTTCTGTATTACTGGAAGTGTCTGAGTATATCGCTTCTGGAATGTTCAGTAGCTATCCAGCCTGCATCTGCTTGAATGGGATAAGGTCTAGAACAAACAAGGGAAGATCACAACAGATTTTAATTAAAAAAAAAAGGGGGGGGAGTCATTAGGACTACAAGAGTATTGCTCTTTGGCAGATGACATCCAGCAACAGAAGGATCAACCTCCGTTTCCTCCCTCTACCAGCTATCAGGCCCATCTTTCCTAGACTGAGCCACAATCACCTCATTCAATTAACCCTTTCCTGTCTCAGGCAGGCTCTGGGAAATTAAAGAACCAGCAACGACCAGACTTGGTTAAAATCAGAGTACTTCTACACTTCAGTGAAACACCTATGGCTATCATGGGTCAGCTGATGACAGGTTCCCGGGGCTGGAAGCCGGGGAGGGAACCTCTCAGAACCCAGGCTGCAGCCCAAGCACTAATGTCTACACAGCAATTTTTAGCCCCATAAGCCCTAGGTCAAATCAACTGACTCAGGACAGCCGAGGCTGATCTGGGGATCTTTTATTCCAGTGTAGATGTACCCCGGCAGCCTCCCAGTGCTCACATTCACATGAACAGAAGGGTCACAAAATGGGAAGCTGTAGAAACCCTTAATGGCAGGCCTTTGAGGAGGACAGGGAGCTCTAGTAGCATGCACTGGCAGCTCTCATCAAGCAAAGAATGGATATACAAAGATCTTGCATCCCCCATCAAACTCTGATAGGTCCTGCACTGAAGTCAGCAACAGCTTGCAGTACATTCTACCAAAGGCTGGAAAAGGAGCTGTTAAACTCCTCACAGATACCTGAGCTTTGCCATCCTTAGCGGGGAATAACTTATGCACAGCGCTAATGCAGTCTTTACAGCTAAAGCTAAGGCGAACACCAGAACAATTTGCTCAGAAAACGCCCCAGTAAAAACTACTCAAAGCTGTTAACTTTGTGGACTCACTGAGCTGTTCATTGCACAGAATACTTCCTTTAGTTGGGATTTCACAGTTGCACTTGTGAACACTAGGGATGTAAAATCCTGTTTAAAAAGTTAACTTGTCCCAGTGCACTAAGGGCTGCTCTGGCCAGGCCAAGCCGAGCTCATCATACCATGGTTGGGGGACTGCTCTGGCTTGGCCTGGTCCGCTGTGTCATGCCACAGGTGGGGGCTGCTACATCCTAGCCAAGCATACTGCATCGTGCCATGGGCTGCTCCGGCTTGGCTAGGCTGCCTGTTAACCATTTACCCACTAAGCATCACCCAGCAATGGTGTTACTGGGTAACCAGTTAACCCTTTACATCCGGGCTGAACGTGTGTGTGGGGAATAACTGCAGGTGAAAGCCATAAAATACAATAGAGACCACTTTTATCCTTCTCCACAGCAACCAGCATAGGAACGCAGAAATCTGCTACCCCAAGACCAGTTCAGAAAGAGTTTTCCGCCTAGTTCTATACATTTCTTTCCTTGATATTTAATTGAATTTGCCACAAAAAACTTGCACATTAAGGTGACCACAGAACAACAGGATCAAAAAGTCTCACTGCCCGTTAGCAGAATGACCCGGAAGTTGTATGTTATCTTCTAAAAACTGGGAAATCTTGTTGTATCCATCAATCCCTGATCTAAGGCCAATGAACTAAAGTCTTTTGTTCTAATCAGTCAGAATAAGCACTTACCTCAGTTTAGCGATACCATTTCAAATTAATGAGGCATGGCTGAGTTGCCTATCTGAAATTTGGAATTCAGCTCTATTTAACAAGTAGATGAAAAATAAGGTATCCTTATTGCACTTCCATTGTGAGGATACATATTTATTGGGCAACTTGGAGCTAACATTTCCAATGTAACACTTCCTCCTAGTCATTATACAGATGGCTAGAGAAGGGCAAGCATATGCATCTCCAATTCTGTCTAGGGAGAAAACTTGGTTGTTGACCTGGGCTACTGTAGAATCTCAATTACTACCCACGCTCTGTTCAGCTGTAACAGATGTTTAAAAAAGGTGAATACAGTAGCGTAGTTTCTGACTCCAAGTCAAGCAGGCATTTGTTGACTCTCCTCCCCGCTTCTACTTCATTAGATTAACATACACTCAATCTACCCTCAAATCAATAAACTGAGCTTTTTACCAGGAGGATATCCTCCTGTAACACTGTATCAGGCTGCAGGATATTTTGCTAGGATTTTCAGGTATTTTACCACTTAGCATTTTTGTTTGACACTTTTAATGCTGTGACATCCTGTTGCACAGCAGACATCTCTTTAAAGAAGATCTCTTTGAAGAAGGCTGTCCTAATTCAGGATTGGAGCATTTTTGCCAAATATTCTCAAAGAGGTTCCAGACACCCAGGCATTTCAAAACAAGTCTATGATGAAATATTTATACTTGAAAATATGTCCATTGCAATGGCTGTATTTGGTATGCAGGTGAGAGAGGCAGGCCTAGGAATCTTAATCCAGCATTCTCCTGTTTGTGTGTGTGAATACCTTCTCTCCCCAGGCCTGCTGGTTACCAGAGTAGTTATCCTAAGCCCAAGCAAAAAAAGCAAATTGAGTTATCTGAAGTAAATGCCAATGTAGATACACTGGCTGGCTCCTATATGGAGCTATTTTACAGGCAGTTGAGGGAAGCTCAAAGTCTCATTCAGGATTATTTTAAAAGCAGGTTTTGGGAGCAACAGCCTCACTGTTGTGCATACAATCTCATAGCCAGGAAATTCCTTCCATCCTGCAGGGAGCAAGCAGGGTTATTTATTAATCTTTAATAACAACTCAATGGAATTTACCTTGAGACACAAGAAATATCCCTTAAGGGAGAGTGGAACTGCTAAGGCTCCAGGACAGCACATTTTGTTTCCAAATGTAAATTGTCTTGCAGGTGGACCTGGACCTCTGGTCTGATAAGCAGGGCTTGCCGAACCACGGCAAGCCCCGCTCGCCAGCCGCGCTGTCCAGCGATCTGCGCATGCGCAGATTGCTGGAACCCGGCTCTTCCGGGTTACAATCTACTCACCAGGGGCGAGTAGATTGTCTAATTTGTCGAGCCCTGCTGATAAGAATGCAGGGTTTCAGTCATTTCATTGTATGGGATAAAGGAATCAAGTTAAAATAAAGTGACTGGGTTTCCAACCTCAAAATCTCCCAATAAGATACCATGTGGCCTCAACTGCTCACACTTACTGAGACAAAAGAGAAGTGAAGGAAATGAAAACATAAGAAACCCCTGAACTAAAACCAGAAAACAAACAGGCATTAATATATGTGGTCCAGCATGATTTTAGTCAGTCAGATGTCCACTTAACATGGGTGTGGCCAAATTTCCCACAGTCCCATAAAGTTTGTTTACAGCCACCTTTCCTTGCTTTCAATGTTCTGTGTTGCTATTTAGCTCTAATTTACCCCTAAAGGTCTTCAAAGAACCCAGTAAACAATGGAAGTATTGGTAATGCTGCTAGACAATATTGACCTCCAATGGTCTGTCAAATTCTTTGCTTCCGCACTGGTCAAGTCCCAAAGGTGCCAGACTAGACAGGTCCAATCTGTCCTGTGTTCATACAGCCAATGTACTTCAGCATCTTCTCCTCTCAAAATGGTTGAGCAGATGCAGGTGGATCTGTTGAAATGTCATCCCTCATCTTACCTGGCAAAGTGGCAAACATTGAGTTTTTAAATGGCAATCACTGCGTTTTCCTCTTCAGAGTGTATCTTCTCTAAAGACTTTCAGAATTTGAATACTTTGTACATGGGAAATCCTACTCACAGGCTACTTTTTCCCAACAAAGCTCATGTAGTAAAACAAGCAGGATTTGATGCTAAAGTTTTATTACAGCAACAACAGTGGGCCTAGTGCCTTTTTCCTCAGGAAAAATCCTGTTACCTCATTGAGATACAATACTTTGCCTTTAGCCTTATAGATTTTGAGAATTTCATTATCACCTCAGGAAACAGAGTAAGAATCATGATGCTTTAATAAAGCACCATGTAAGTATTTATGATTCAGTATCCTTGAATGGTGTAAATATTGAATGTTTGTTCTGAAGTACTTTTACCTTATAAAATGTCATTTGGCTTTATTTTTTTAATTAGCTGAATTTGAAAAGTGAAATAACTGAATTGTAGTTGATACACTAACAATGGGGGTGTTTCCAAATGCTTTGATTCACCATATTTTAAGACCATTTCACTTGTCTTTCTGGCTTTTACAACAATGCCCCAATCCCTATAAAGTATAATCTAGGATAACTATGTTCTTCTGAACCCACGAGCAACAATATTCAAGATCAGAGTCATAGGTTTGAAAATCACAGACCAACTTGGTATTCTGTTAACATTAATTTTATAAAATATCTTACAAGAACAGATAAAGTACTCGAGGTTACATAATAACCAGAATTGAAAAAGAATGTGGAATAAAATATAAATTAATTGAACACATCACTATGTTTATCACATGTTAGACAAGTTTATAAAAGGCATTTTTGATAAAATAGTTATTTGGAAGAAAACCTTCAAAATGGAAACTATTGCAGTCCTTTTCAGGAAATCATTCCTAGAAACCCTATTCCAGGTCAACAAGCAGTACCTGAATCTGTTTAAAATACACTGTTCACCTGCTTCCAAATCTGTCAAGCTTTAAGACACAAATTTAAAACAGTTAACAGTTCAGAATAATCAGTGCAAAGTAAAGTTTCAAGCTGAAATTATAAGAGGAAATGATTTGGACACAAAAATCTAAATTCACATTATGAAAAAGTCTTTGCCAGATGTGCACTTGGATTATGAAACATTGACACATTTGATCAGTGGCCATTTTAGGATTCCAGCCAACCTGCTAAATGGCTAATCACATGGAATTCATTTATTTCAGCAGTTTCAATTTTTACCTAGCATCTTTGGAAAGAATCCATGCTTCTGACAGTCATTACTATTGCTCATCTTTTGATTCAGCAAATCTTGTTAAAATGCAGGAATTTTTGCATCAAGGAAATAAGATGTTGATATGATGACCTAAAAGGGATTGTTACCGAAAATTAGATTTGTAGGCCCCACTTTTACACACATTCAAGAAATTGAGCAACTTCACTTGAGTACACCCCTACAGTCATGTGCTTGAAGTTACATATGTTCACAGGTATTTGCAAGATCAAACCTTTATTTTTTAAACTGTTAAAAGACACTTTGGGGAACCAAACTATTGTCAGATTTACCTCTCTCAAGCCCATTAAATACTGTGCAGCCAACAACCTACAAGGCAACTGCGCTCAATTTGGTTTTAAATCTATTAACCAAAACAGGGTCTGAAGCATCTCGTGTTCCACTGCGTAGGAGGGTCTGATTAGGTTTATCTAACGATGAATGGAACTTTTAGAGTATAAAGCCACCACCTGTGCTACCAGGGAGCTTCCACAGACAGCTGGTCAAGGTGTGTATGGGGGGGAGCAGGCTCTATGCTCCCAGAAGTGGCTCAGGTGGAAGGGGTGGGGCAGCCAGCCCTCAGCGCTGCCCAGACTGCAGAGCAGGATCCCCTGCCCTGCCCTCAGAGCTACGCGGCACACGTGGTGTGGCACTCTCACAGCAATTTAAAGAGTCTGGGGATCTGGCCGCTGCTGCAGCGGCAGTGACTGGGAGCCCCAGACCCTTTGAATCACTGAGCCCTGGGGCAAGTGCCCCCATTGTTGCCCCCCATCCTGGTCAGCAGGCCTATATGCTATTACATTACAAAGGTTTTAAACACATGTACAAAAAACAAATTATGCCAAACAGGCTGGGAATGTTACTTTAAAAAAAAAACCACAGAAAGAGCTTGTATAGAAAGTAATTTTAAAATATTTCACATGAATTTTGTTCTTGCTCCTTTATTGAAACATGGTGGTGTCATTTATTCTGAGATCCTGATTAAAATTTTATATTCTGGGCCAGTTTTATGGAATATGATTGGAAATTCCAACATGAGATGCAGACTGTTTGCTTCTCTGTGCAATTTTTTTCTTCTTCTTTGCTATCGCTGGTAGTTATGTTAGAACTGTAATTAAGCCGCTTTAATAAAATTGAAACATTTATCTTAACAGTATGTATCATTCTAAATTTCTATTTGGCTGAAACGTACAAGTGCTACCAATATGATATAAAAAAGAAAAAAAAAACCCAAAGAAACTGAAAACAATGGGAGCAATGGGTAAAACATCTGCCAAAAGCTTTCATTATTCCTATCCAAAGAATAAACATTGAAAGGAATCTGCAGATATCCTTTCTAGTACATAAACTCAATCATTTACTTAGATTGAAACAGAACAGAAACATATCCCTGTAGCTCAAATGCCTCTGATCATCTTGTTTCACTGGACCAAGACACATTAATGATGACCATGCCTTGTGATCCTGCAAAGGAATGATTTTTCTAGCTTTCTTATTTTTAAAGAGAAAAGCTTTTGATGAAATGATATGATAATTGTAATTTCCACTGGGTTTTCTCAGTACCTTTGAATTATTTACTTGAGATGTTTGGTTGTCCTTAAATCTTTAGAATAAATCCATTTATTGCTGAGATCTGATCTTTTATGTGGTGCAACTTTAACAACTTGCTAGGAATGAAGGAGAGAACCAAAAGATAAAAAGAAAATAAATATAAACCACAACCCAAGTTTATCTTAATTTGAAACATCTGATACTGGCCACATTTTAAAGTACTCAACTATTCTACTTTCCACATGATTCATCTTTTCAACAATAATAGGAGGGGAAAAAAGAGATTTCAGTGATTTCCACAAAAACAAGAAAGCAGCAAAATGAGAATTACTGTGGGACATGAGGACTCTTAATTTGAGAGTATGGCAAGAAAAAATATAAAAGACTCGATCTGATTGCATCAATTTGTGCTTTACATTAAAAAAACAGACTGAGGTAACGATGTACTACCCATGGCAAAGAGATTTAAAATGTTTCCGACTATGTAGGAATAGCGAATGAGTGAATCTGGGTATGAAACAGTCCAATGCAATATCGTGAACAGAGGTTACTAAATAGCTTTGTAAAATGTATTGCTAGAGTAGCATTAGTACTTAACAGTGCACCAAATATTTAATGTTCCCATGTCAATATGAACTGGTCCCTAAAGCCATGATGAGCTGAAAAACAATGACTCAATGAGGAAATTAACTCTCATCCACTTTGCAGAGGATAGGATTGTAATCCAACTGATCATTAATAAAATTCAGTGAGATTCCCCATTATTCAACATGCCTAAAGATATTCAAGGCATGAACAACAGGCACGCTTGCTATGTAACTTAAGTACAACATCAACATCTGCATTCAAATTTTTAAAAGCTGTCATGTCCTTTAGTTTCATTACTGCATGTGTCTTTCTAAACTGTGGAAACTACGTGGATCAAGACCTTGAAGTTTATAGGTGACAAAATCCATAATAAAATAAAAATAAAAGCTGCCCAATGTCACTGTCAAAATACCTTTAAAAAGGCAGTTCATAAACAAAAATAATGCATTATACATTCAGATTTCTTCCTCTCTCAATAGCAAAGCAATCTCAGAAGAAAATGCTCAGTAGTGAAGGCCACATACTTTTTTTTTGTTTTTGCATTTGATACATTGAAATGCAAAAACCATTAAAGCCTCTTATAAAAAGGAGAAATGGAAATATAGAACTTCTGGAAAAAATGGGTTAGTTGATGGGCTGGTCAGCATGGATAATGTTGCAAATGCTACAGCTGACCTGACCACTGTACAAGGGAATCTAAACAGGAACACAGTACAGGTGTCAACTAGAAAACTGTTAACTTGCCATCTTGTAAACAAGGAAAAAAAACCATTTCACAGATTCAAAGTTCAAGGGAAGTAAACTTCTTTAAATTATTTTGTCAGTTCAACCCTGATTTTAAAAGTATGGCTACCAAAAATACAGAAGCCTCAGCCCATCTTTGAGTCTTGATCAGAACAGCCATCTTCCTTTGATAGACTTCTGGAAACAGACCCTCTTCTAATGATGACGAGAAGAAACTCTCTCAAATTCTCTCCTGCTCTCAGTTCCACACAGACACACGCACACATGAAATTCATCTGCTGCAGGAACTTGCACGCTGCTATAGATTGAGACGTGGGGAGACTGGTGGAGGAAAGCAAGCAAATTCTCTTAAAATACTACGAGCCACGTCAACGTTATTCTGGGCTATTTCAAGTGCCCTCTTCACTTCTTCAAAGGAATAGCCCTCTCCCATAAGTTTTGCAATTTTTGCATCCACGTTTTCCAAGGAGGTGTCAGAGTTGTATGCTTTCCTGTGGTGGACTTCTGGTGCAGTCCTGCGAGGAAGTGGTTTAGGGGGTCTGGCTGGTGCTTGTGAACCATCTGTTAAAAAAACCCAAAGCATCAAAAAGACAATCACTACAAACTGGCTTAACCATGATGTAAAGAGCTAGCTTCCAGTAATTCAGGCTCCAAATTTAGGGTGAAGTCAAAATCCAATTTTACAAAGCCTATTAAAAGAATTATTTTAAGAAATTCCTTTCTTTATTTTTTAAATTCTGGTAGAAACTGTATTAGAACTTTTAAGAGAAAATGTTCTCAACCTAAAGATCCCTAATTTTTTCCCTTCTGATATCACAGTTTCTGATATCTGTGATAATTCAGATGTTGGTTGGGTATACGGGTTGCCTTTTTTTGCAGTGCTACATGGGAACATTAACCTTCACAGTTAACACTGCTGCGAGGCATCATAATGTTCTAATACACAGAGCTAATAGCCAGAGCTTCTAATCTTTTCAGAGTCAAGGGGTTAGGACTCAAGTAAATTTGGTACTTTGCTGAAACTCCTTTAACCTTACTGAGGCTACACTAAGCAGCTTAAATATAAGACAGCATACAGCAGAAACGCTTTGAGTGGAAAGTATTTAATTTATTTATTTTTAAGGCTTCTAATCCTTTGAGAAGAATTCTGAAAAGTCCTACTGACAATAAATAGTGCTCCAATGATATGTAATTAGAGAAAGCTTATGGCGATAACATTTCCAGTTTATTGACACTGCTGGCAATAACATTTTGTTGTTTCAAACCTTCCAGATATGTCTTGTTATTCAGAGATGCAAAGGAGCATTCTATTTTCGCTATCAAAGTCATACAGCTACTCAGTTTTATACAGGGAGAATATCTGAATTGTAATCCCACAGAGCACATTAAACATCTCCAATGGATCAACCTAGACATTTATGTGGATCTACTCAAGATACATTTCCTGACTCAGTTTGTATGCATTCAGATAAGCTTGTTGGCACCAGTATAATTCTATTGTTAGTTCAGACAAGATCCAGGAAGTATTTTTTTTCCAGAAAGATAGTGGGGTTAACGTAACAAATAGATGAAGTAATTTTATTCAGATTTCACATGAAAAGACTTGGTTTAATCTTGTGCTAGAAACATTGCTTATTTTCTGCACAACACGGTGATGAGAAAAACAGCAGATAGGATTATTTTGTCTTTAAAGGAAGATGAAAAGTGCTATAAAAATGCAAATGATAAACACAACACAAAGCTGGTTTAAGCCTAGGAGGGAAAAAAGGTATGAAATACTTGTAGGACTAGGCGATGAGCACTATTTCAGCAAGTTACCAGTAAGAGAGAGTAATGACTAAAATCAGGACTTTAATCACTTATTTTACAAAACTCAATTTATAGTATTATTGAAAAATACTGGCCATAATTAAAATAAAAATATGTACAAGACCAATAATGTAGCCTCTGTAAACTGAAGACTAAAGAATATGACTAAGCAATTTTAGAAAAATGGTTATGGAAGGATCTAAAGAACAAATAATACAATTAATTTGGATAGAGTTTTGGGGGGAGGAAGGAAAAAAGTGAAGGAGAAAGCATGTATGTATGTATGTATATATAAATATGGAGAGGTAATTAGTTCTGGGAGCTACAATCACAATCCACAGTTGGAATTTCTTTTTGATTAAAAACTTCATGCTCCCTAAAACCTGCTGAAGCAATTGTTTCATTAAGGGAAACCATTTTTTATTCTTTTCAAAGATTTGTAACATATGCATTTTCTTCTCAATCCACCCATGTCTTGAAAGCACGGATGCTTTTAAATCTCCAGACTCTCTCCGCTTTTCTCTAGCATTGAGAGCTTGATCTACAGCCTTAGCTGAGAGCCAGCTATAGAGGCTCATGCACAAAGCTCCAGAGGTTGAAGGTTTGGTTCCAACCTGTTGGCGTTACTATTTTTTATTGAGAGAGATTAAAAAGACTTGGACTTTTCAGCTTAGAAAAGAGGAGACTAAGGGGGGATATGATAGAGGTCTATAAAATCATGACTGGTCTGGAAAAAGTGAATAAGGAAAAGTTAAGTATCAGAGGGGTAGCCGTATTAGTCTGAATCTGCAAAAGCGGCGAGGAGTCCTGTGGCACCTTATAGACTAACCGAAGTGTTGGAGCATAAGCTTTCGTGGGCAAAGACCCACTTCGTCAGATGCATGTCAAAAGTTATTTATTTGTCCCACAATATAAAAAACCTGGGTGTCACCAAATGAAATGAATAGGCAGCAGGTTTAAAACAAAAGGAAGTTTTTCTTCACTCATCACATAGTCAACTGTGGAACTCCTTGCCAGAGGATGTTGTAAAGACTAGGACTTTAACAGGGTTCAAAAAAAGAGCTAGATAGATTCAAGGAGGTTAGGTCCATCAGCGGCTATTAGCCAGGATGAATAGGAATGGTGTCCCTAGCCTGTGTCAGAGGCTGAAAATGGATGACAAGAGAGGGATCATGTGATGATTATCTGGTGTGTTCCCTCCCTCTGGGGCATCTGGCATTGGCCACTGTCAGCAGACAGGATACTGGGCTAGATGGATCTTTGATCTGACCCAGTATGGCCGTTCTTATGTTTTCACTCTCCAGGTAACTCAACTCATTTAAAACACACCTTTCTCAATATCTTCATACCCATACAAAATTGAACTCAAAGGTAGGTATCCTATTAAGCTACGTCTACACAGTGGTGCTATTTAGGGGTTAACATCTGTTATCCCAAAATAGAGGTCTGCGCATGTTAACAGTACGCCTGTTATTTCGAAATACATTCAAAATAATGGACTTGTTATTCTGGCTTCCTGCAAACCTCGCAGCACAAGGATTAAGGAAGACACTGAAATAGCGATTTATTTAAAAATAAATGCTATACAGACAGTGCCAAATTTCAAAATAAGCTACACAATTTGCATAGCTCAAATGGGATAGCTTATTTTCAGCTACGTGCTACTGTGTAGATGTACCCGTAGATTATGAGCTTAAAAATACTAAGCTTAAACAGTACTTTCCTCTGAACTCAGAGTTAGGGGCATTAAAACAAGGACTCTCTTTCTCTTGACGCACACTGATGCATTAGCCACCTCAGCTTCTTTAAAAAAAAAAATCTTTGGTTGAATTTTCGGTTAATTTTATAGTCGTACAATTCAATTAATTGTTTCAGCCTTTGAGCAGGCAGCCTTAATCACGAACACTTCTGCTCCCATGGTGCCTTCAACCTTTAGGAAACAAGTTACTGTAATTCCCAAAGCAAACAATTGCCAGGGACAGGCTAATTTAATAAAAGACTATGATTCCCTACCAGCAGGTGAGGGGGAGAAATCAATGGTGGGGAGGAAGAAGCCTTCTAAGCTGCTAAGAGCTAGAGGTAAGTCAGGACTCTTGCTGGCAGTGAGGCTAAATAGATTCATTACCCCCTGCAGTGAAGCACCCCCTCTGTTCCCTTCCTGTTCTCTCAACATGCCCTAACTTCTGCTGCTGTCCCTCTGAGAAGCAGCAGTGATAAGCAGCACCATGCAATCACGTATGCTGGTGGATGAAAGGAAGGAGACTTGTCAGGTAAGTCTCTGTGGAGTGGAAGAGGACACACAAGTCTATCGGGGTACAAGCAAAAACACCTCAAGGGGATAGGAGAGAGGCCAGAGGATCCCTCATTTTGAGGAGCTAAGGAAGCAAAGAACTTAGTGCCTTCACTGTAGAATGTTAAGAATGGTGTAAATCTTCCTTAGAGCTCTAAGCGATGGGTGTCAGAGACAAAAGACATGCAATATTTCACCATACATAATCTACTTTCTTGATATTTAAGACAACAAAAGAAGTAACAAGAAGAGAAATACGTTTGTCCTTATAAGTCAGCTATTAAGCTGGACATTACAGTGAGGTAGGCATTATTCCCATTTTATAAACAGCCTAAGGCACAGAGGAGTTAAGTGACTTGCCTAACACTGTACAGTAAGTCAGTGGCAATACTAGGAACAGAATTTACTCTAATCAGAGGACTATATTCACTTTCTTTGTAACAGTGGCTCCTATAGCAATCCTGTAACAGGTTTGGAATGAAGCAAAATGGTTTACCAGAGATGAATGGTTAAGGAATAACTCAAATACTGTTCTATTCTTCATACAAGATTGCCTTTTTGAATCCAGGTGTAACTTGAATCTGTTCATACTGGAACTCATTAATTCCATCAGATAGAATTACAACCACTGCAAATACAACTTTCCAATTATAGCATGGCATGATTTAAGAAACAGCTATTTAAATCAAATTAAACTGAAAACATTTATGTATAGATAATGCTGGATTGGTATAGTTTTAGCAGAGGTTAAAATATAGGGATATTTTAGAAGATGGCTATGCAAACCATTTAGGGAATGAAGTATTTACTAAACAATACAAAAAAACTATTTCAGATCTTATAAAGCAAGCATCTTGCAGTCATTTTGCAGAATTAAAAGCTTCTCTACATCAGCTTCCTTTGTGGAGTGCCTTAAAATACACCAGTCCTAATAAAAAAAAAAAGCATATCCATTAACTGACTACACAGAAGTATAAGTTAGTGTGTGAAATGTAATGAAGCGCCTTCTTTATTACCTTTAAAGAAAAACCTTAAACTAATATAAAATGCACTATCTTCTATTTTGAATGCATGAAGCAATCACGGTTTTTTTATACTGGCACAGAGGGAAAGTGCCATACCCTTTATAGTATGCAGTGCTGTTGTGGCCATGTTGTTGTTGTAGCTGTGCCAGTCCCAAGAGAAACAAGGTGGGCGAGGTAATATCTTTTTCTTCAGAAGAGCTCTGGGTAAGCTCTTCTGGGTACGTTTTCACTCACCAACAGAAGTTTGCCTAATAAAAGGTAATATCTTATTCACCTTGCCACTCTAATACCTTTAAGTTAATCCATTTACTATTATGAAGGTATATTACAACCACACCCAGGCCCCCCTTCCATCAAAGTCAGAGCCCCATTCTGGAAGGCAGAAAGACAAGAAATATGTCCTAAAGATTTTATAAAACAACACATAAAGCCCATTATAAAGCCCATTTTCAATGCTATCTAAACAGTGAGCACAAGCATTCTGTAGACTTGAAAATGCTATCATTTATTGGAGACATCAAACTGAGGTTCCAACCAATGGCGACCATTAAAGATCCCCAGCACTTTTCATGCTCAAGCTCACCTGTATTTTCAATTGGAAAAAGTGTCCTTTGCTTCCTAATCTATACTGCAGTATACTGGAGTAACACACTGTTAAAGGTCCAACTTAACCATTACAAAAATCATATTTTTGGTTGGAAAAATCTATCACCTACTGTTGTGGCAAGTTACATCTGTAATTACTAAAAAACTAGAGAACAAAATCATGTTTTTCAGTATGTTTACTTTGTGCGTTTGAGAACAGTTTGCATGCATAAGATTTCCGTTTGCCCTGAACAGTTCTTCATGGCCCAATCCTAATAGCTACATACACAACTCAGTACAGCTATTCACATGATAAACTCAGACCCTCTGTTGGCTAGTTTCCTGATTGTGAGGGCTTTTATGCAGCACCAGGAGAGAAAATGGTGGAACAGGAAAACTAATTGTAAATAGGCAAAGGACTCAGAGATGGGGGTAATAATGAAACTACTTTATTTCTTTCTAATTGATTAGATTTGTAGTTGACAGTATTGCTTCAAATAATTGCTGTGTGGTACTGCAAAGGCATGTACATTCTTTGGTGTATTAAGTAATTTCTGCTGTGCATAAAAGGATAGAATCATAGATTTGTAGGACGGCTCCATGAACTCATGGAAGAACCAAGCATCACCTAGAGTCTAGACCATCCCTGAGAGGTGTTGGTCCTTTAATCACTTTTGTTACTCTTCTCTGAGCTTTTTCCATTTTGTCCACACCTGTATTGAAATGTGGTGCCCAGAACTACACATAATACTCTAGCTGAGGTCTAATCAGCACAGAGTGGAAGAATTACTTCCCGTGACTCGTTTATAATACTCTAATACATCCCAGAATATTTGCTTCTTTTGCTACTGTGTCACACTGTTGACTCATATTCATCTTGTGATCCACTGTAACCCAAGTTCCCTTTCTGCAGTACTCCTTCCTATCCAGTCATTTTCTATTTTATATGTGTGCAACTAATTGTTCCCTCCTCAGTGGATTACTATGTATTTGTCCTTATTGAATTTCATTAAGACAATTTCTTCAGTTTGTTCAGATCATTTTAATTCTGTCTTCTAAAGCACTTGTAACTGCTCTCAGATTAGAACCCCCACAAACTTTGTAATTGTTCTCTCTCTGCCATCATCAAAATCACTGATGAAAATATAGAACAGAACTGGACTCAGGACTGATCCCTGGGGGAACCCACTTATTATGCCATTCCAGATTGACTGTGAACCACCTGTAACTGCTTTCTGGGAATAGTTTTCCAACCAGTTATACACCCATCTTACAGCATTTCCTCATAGTAGCTCCTTATAGACTTTCAATCTGTCATTGGACCAGTGTGGAAGGGTCCATTCATGTGAATCCAGTCACAGGTTTGGGACCATACATTGTAACTAGACTGACAAATTTGAGGCTCCTTCTGAATCAGTGATGTTATGTATAATGGCCATCTTTTTAATTTTTTACATTATGGTGATGGGGTTGGTACAAACTGGATATGGTATTTTAGTTGCTTTTGGGTGTCCTGGGCAATTTAAACATATGCTCAGAGCCACACAAGATACATGAGAGAGAAAAATATATAGGTTTAAATATTTTGTCCACGGAGCAATATAAGAATAAAATTGAACCAAGAGACACAATGACCCCTGCATAGCTTCTGACCTCTTGTAATCTCCTAATAAACAGAGAAACCCCGTTATCTTAAAAAAAGAGGTACCAGAATTCACATAAGCATTCATGCCAGTGGCTAGGATTAAAAGGACTGACTATGGAAAGGGAAAATAATTTTTCTTTTAGTCTATGCAACCCTACAGATCATAGCCTGGATCAACCACTCTGAGATTTTATGTCCTTTCAGAAGGATCCATCTCTGTCGTTCCGCCAATCGTTATCTACTGTTTTTTATAGGAAGAGGATAGCCAGTTCTTGTTGTGAACAACAGTGGCATTTCCTCACAAACAGGACAGTAATGAATGTGACTTGCTGGCATCTGACAATTTGTCTGATACTCGCTTTCTTAAGCTAATACTTTGTCGAAGCATGGTTTTTTCACCTTACCTGAAGAGGATGGAAGCTGATCATAGTCCTGGGAGATTCTATTAGTTTTGACATTTTCCCCTGTTGATCTTCGAGCAGGAGGCAAAGGAATTACACTAATAGCTGGATCAAAAAAGAGATCTATAAAAAGAAGAGGATACTTTAAGTTGAAAATGTTCACAAGATACATGCACGCAGGGCTACATTATAGCTGTATGAACAAGAACCTTCAGGAGAGAATTGATTGTGAAAGCAAGCAGGAGTGCTCCCTTTATCTCACACTCACACTCTTGTATTCTTACAATGGGGATTTAACTATGCTGAGAGAAAACCAGGGGAAATAGTTACATTAATATAGTCTCCCTCGCCAACACATATTAAAGAAACTGGTAACAGGAGTAAGCAGGCTTTCTGTCTATCTTTGTAATGTTTCTTCAGTAATTGGCAAAGTCAAAGAAGAATATTTTCTTCTCCATTTTAGGTCCCCATAGACGACAGTACTCCAGCAAGTGCTTAACTTCAATCCATTTACGGCAGGGGATATGTATATTTTTTGTGATGAGGTCCTGGCTGTAAACTCGCTAGCTCTGTGGAAGGGCTGTGAAATCATCTGAAGGCTTGTACAGAAACCAATTAAAATATGGCTTTGGAAATCTCAAGAACATTCAAAAAAAGAATGAAATACAAATCCACACAACCATATGTCTCTGTGTAGTTTGAGGCACTTATAAGATTAATGAACAGTGACAGTACAGATCATATCTAATACGTACATATGGAAAATGTTAAGTGACCATAAAATGTACTTTCCAGGTTTTATGTGAACATTTATAAGTTATATTAAATTATTGTTATATTATTTCCATATAATTTTCCACATAACCTTGTGAATTATAGATAACATTTCGTTTATCTTCAGTACTCAATTTTAGAGTAATTTCTGTCCCTGAAATTCATGAGCATGCACCTTTGAGTCAGATAACTTGCAAAGTCATCCACTCTATATATGCCTTGCTGGGCCCCTGGGAAAGGTGGAGGAAGAGGAGGGGGGCAGCTCCTTTCTTGGAAGGGGTGGGACCTCAGGTGGAAGGGGCGAGACTGAGGTAGCCCACTGGCAGCACTGCCTGCACCATGGCATGTCCCACCCCAAACCTTAGTGTTGTCTGGAGAGCACTGCTTGGCACTCTGGCAATGATTTAAAGGGCCTGGGAGCCCCGGGCCCTTTTGAATTGCCAGGTCCCAGGACTGTTGCCCCCTTTGCCCGTCCTCTTTTGGCACGCCAGGCAGTGACTTATCTGACAAGATGGATGGTGAACAGAACTCTCATGTAAAGTACAGAGTACTAGCACATTATTCAACATTCAGATCTAGACAGATAGCAGAAAACATCAAAGTGTCACTTGGGTTCAACCTAATTACTCTCAGGTACTCATACTGTGTAGCACATTTATTTGAAGCTTTCAGTTGAGGGGTATTTTTTCCAATGTGCGTGCCATTTCTGGACAGACAAAAACACGTCCTGCATTTATATGTTTTGTTATGTTTTTGTGATGTGTTATGGTGGGTTAAACCTATCATATGTCATTACATGATGATACAACTCCTTGCAATACTGTGATCTGAACTGAAAAACGTAAATTTGATTTCCAAATGTTTCAGATTTTTTTTTTGGATGAGCTAAAGGAATACAGCGTTTTAACATTCTACTTGAGGGTTTGATAGATCCTATCAATTGCTTTCTTTTTTTTTTTTTTTTTTAAAGCATGTCTGTGCCTCTAGAGCAGTGTTTCTTAAGCTTTTTGAGGCCACGAAACAGCAAACAATATTTTTTAATGTGGAACACCCATGAAAATTGTCTTTAAAAAAACCTGTCAGGAAAAAAAAAAGACAAAAACAAAGAAGAGGTCGCGGCACATCTGAGAGTTGTTCATGGAACACCAGTGTTCCGTGGAACATAGTTTAAGAAACACTGATCTAGAGCCACATCTCTTTCTATGGCACTTCATAGAGAAACATTTAAATATCCATATACATACATGGTTTTTGTATTGACTCTTCTAGTGATAAACTGAGCCCGTTGGGGCATGAACTATCTTTTTGTTCTCTGTTTGTACAGTGCCTAGCACAACGGGTTCCTGGTCTATGACTGGGGCTCCTAGGCACTACTGCAATACAAGTAAATGACAGGACTCCACCACAGCACCTAAAATGACACTGGATACGATGGGAGCTCCTGTGAGCTCAACCATTTTGAAAAATCAGTCCAGTTCAAGTGCCTGACTTAGAAGTCTAATTTTGCTACCTATGTTTGAAAACATTGACTCATGAACTGGGAGACAAACACTACAAAAGACTATTGCAAAAAACAATAAGTTTCAAAACCCAGTTCAGGTTGCTAAGTGACAACGTCCTTTATGTATGACAACAGCCACAAAACCTAAGCCAGAGGTTCCTCAATTTTTTTCACTGCACCTGCCTTTGGCATCAGCAAAGGGAAGATCTGGAGAGTGTCAAGTTCAAAGCCTGCAGAGGGGCTCCTAGGCACTACTGCAATACAAAATCTCCACATGACCAGCACGTGTTGGGAGAAGGCTCATGTACCCTATGTGAAATCCTTCTGCCAGGAGCAACAACTGATGCATGCATGGTTCTGCCCTCTCCCTGTGTACACATAATGGGGACAAGGACACACACGTGGTGGTGCTGCCACCATACTGACTCCAGCGCAGCCAGGGAGAGAGGCAGGTGCATGCTCCTGTAAGAAACATTGTGTAAGTAGAGAAAGGGAAGTGAGTTTGAATGAGATTCTGCTATCCCTGTGTGAGCTGGCCAGGACGTGGTCCTTTAATCCAACAATAAGATCATCACACTCCTCACATTAGTTTGAAAACTAAAGGTCTAATCATTTAAATATAAGGAATGAATAGCTAACGAAATAATATACCTTACACTGTCCACATAATGAACAAGTTATTGTAAAGGAATTCCTATTTAACACAACACCAGCTCTGTTCTGATCCATGGAATCTTATCTTGATTTTGGAATTTAGCTGTTCCCTTTTAAGTGATGCAGTGGGAAATATCATCCAATTTTTTTTAAAGAGGTATCAAACCATGGCAGAATTTTTCATTAAAGTATTTCTATAATTGCTGTACCTGGAGAATAAAGTTGTTTCTCTAATGTAATTTAACAGGAAAAATACACAAAATTGTTGATTTATGATACAAATTATGCACTTATATCGACATGCAGTTGAGGCAGATCAATATGTATTATTAATGTGGACACAACAGGCTTTTTTTTCAAACGGGTTTCACTGAGTTTATATTTTGAGATCACGGCTAAAATAACATTATTCTGAATCAGAGCTAAGGGGATGGGTTTGTGTTAAAATAAAATTAAGTTTATCTATCATGGCAGGATGTTGTAGATGGGGTATAAGGGAACCTCTTAATTTGTGAGCCTATTAGACACAAGAGGGACAACCAAAAACCTCTCTGACAAGGAAGCAAATAATCTTTTGGGATCATTTCTGCCATCCACAAGCATCACCGCTACTTGTCTGGAGCCTAAGCCAGCTTGCTGTCATTCCAACAACGAGTGTCATGTATGCACTGGGAAAGCACTCAGAGGCAGCAAACAGACCAATTTAATCAGCATGGAGACCCAAACACTACACATTAACAGAAGAAAACCAATCAAGACAGTAATAGTTTCTGTGCCATACGTAGGACACAAACGGGATGAACTGTAGTTCCTTGAAATCATGGGTTTTTACAATGTATAGAGTTTAGACATAAGATTTTGACAGTGACAGTTCTATCAAATACATGTTTTTCTTTGTCCTTTTTTTCTGGTGTTGTCCCCAGTCAAAAAGATGACTAAATGGGATATTATATTGTCTTATAGAAACTAATAATGTGTGCTGATATGACAAATGATGCACACTAGTAACACAGAACTCAATGGAATACTTGGCACTTCAAAGCAACTGTTCCTATTAGAAAAGTGTTATTTACCAAAATGTCACGTCTAGTATGAAAATATCGATTTTATCTATTACACGGTGGAAAGAAAAGTGGAGAGTGTTTTACATTCTCTGAGCTGTTTCACCTCTATAGTTTTAAAAACTCATCTCTCTAGTTTTTAGACAGTTAGCTATGGGCAAATGTATTTCTAGCAGGCAATGACAACTTTATCAGCTCAGATAAGCTTCTGCTGTAAATGAAAATACATGAAAACTCTATTTGCTTTGTGACTCCTACCCGAAGGAGGAAGGAACAGTTCATGTCCTGAAGAGGGTCGGCTTCCGGAGCCCTGAGGTTTGGAATGCTCAACGAGGCTGTGACGAGCAGGAGGCGGTGGCGGCAGCGGAAGTGAGGGTGGTGAGTTGTCAAACGCATCTTCACCTGCAATAAGAGACTCGTGATATGAGCAAAACTTCATTATGAGTGGTACAAAAAATAAGCGATGCTTAAAATTGATTTTCCATGGTTGCTAACAGAGATTCTTACTCCAAGGGTTTGTCTAGCAGTACAGGGACTTGAATAATGAAATTGTAAGACTGGCTCCTATTAGCTTTAAAACATACTGCACTCAGTTTTGAGGGGATTTTTTTTTAAAGGTTTCCTCTAGGTTGTAAAATAATAAGCACATTGGGGGGACAGTGTGCTGACATTTCAGCTAGGTGAAATAAAAGAACACACTGAAAATCACTGTAAGATGATTGCTATGTACTTGTACCTCCGCGAAATTAAAAAAAAATGTTCTGACCATGCTGGATTTCATTTATAGTGTGTGTAATTTTACACAGGGATCAGCAAATCTCGTCCAAGAGGCCAAAAAGAACAGTCCTGGGGATTCATGGGAATCCTGGGGATTCACTCACCCTGTACATTATGTGAGAGGAGTAGACAGTATAGTTCATCACTGCCAAACAGTGCAATCCCCGTCCTTTCCCTTTGTGCTGCTCCCTGCACAAACTCTCTGTTACTGCGCTATGTGAACTAAGACACGTCCTAGTACATAGTGTTTAGTGTACAGAAATCAAAGAATGAAAGCAACCAGGGGAAAAAAAAGTGTGGCACGCATAGGGTATGTCTAGACTACAGAGTTTTGTCGACAAAAGTGGACTTTTGTCGACAAAACTAAACCTGCGTCTACACTACCGCTGAGTTCTGTCAACATAACGTCGACAGAACTCAGCAGTTTTGTTGACGCTGGTAAACCTCATTTTACGAGGCATAACGCCTTCTGTCGACAGAGTTCTGTCGACAGAAGGTGTTATTGCATGTAGGGTTGTGTCTAGACTACAGGGTTTTGTCGACAAAGCAGCTTGCTTTGTCGACAGAACTGAATGTAGTCTAGACGCTCTTTGTCGACAGAAGCTTTGTCGACAGTATCTGACAAAGCTTCTGTCGACAAAACCCTGTAGTCTAGACGTACCCCCAGTGAAACCCGCGTATCACAACTGAGTTTGCTCGAATAATCTATGGAGGGTGACGGAGAACAAGCATAAGACCCCAGCATGTGTGAGAGGGTGGC